GTGGTACAGATCAACGTTATAGAGTGAAGAGTAAAGGAATAAATCCAAATATAGATGGACATTTAATACCAGTATTTGATAAAGGTAGTTTTTCAATCAGTGAGGAAAGGATGAACTATTTAACATATGGGATTGGGACACTTTACTAGAAGTCTGAAAACAAAGTTGGATCTATACTTCCTACGTTTTATCAAGATAAATTCCAAGCATATCACGGACTTATCTTTATATAATGAAAGCATAAAAGTACTAGTGAAAAACCTTGGGAGAACGCTTTTATAACTTTGAAATAGGTAGAGCAAAGCCTTTCAAATGAAAACATAAACTCTAAAACCTATAAAATTAAACATCAATTCACTTACATCAAAAATAATATTGGCCTGGCAAGAACTGGCATAAGCAATGTCAAAGTCAAAGAGTAAACTGGGACAAGCATTTGCAATTCTTAGCCCACACAAAGGCTGTTTCCTAATATAGAAAGAACTCCTGACAATCAACAAAAAACAAACACCACCAAAGGAAAATGGGTAACTGACAATTCAAGGAGAAAAAAAAATACAGATCACTTTCAAATATAGGAAAATTGCTCAAACTTACAGAGAAACCTAAGGATATATACTGAAGTACTGTTTTTACTTATCAGACTACCAGAAACCTGATAAGACACCAGGGTAGCAAGCAGGAACTATCACCTTCGCTTCTAGAAGTATAAATTGTTCAACCTCCAAGGAGAGCAGTTTGACAACATTCATCAAAATCAACATTTTTGTACTATTAGACTCAAATTTCTAGGATATATGCACAATTACCTTCATATATGTAAAGATTCCATATGTACAAGCTAAGCCACAGCAGCACTATTTATAGTAGCACAATATTAGAAGCATCTTAAACAGGCCCCCCAAAAATATGATGGAGTATTATGCAACCATAGAAAAGAATTTGGAGGCTCTTCATGTACCAAGACAGAAAGATTTCCAGTATATCCAGTAAATAAGTAAAAGATACAAGGTCCAAATTAGTGCATTTAACAAGTTCCCAGTTAGTTAAAGGAGGGAAATGAATGTGTATTCACATTTTCTTATTTATGTCTAAAGTGTGATCAAGAGAATGCACAAGGAATAAGTTAAAAGCAATTGCCTATAGCGGGGAAGGGACAGAGGCAAAGGGGAGAATATTTCCTGTATGCCCTTTACACTTTGAGTTTTATGAACACATGAATGTATTACCTATTGAAAAAGATTGAGTGAAACTATTAATAGATCAGCTTGATAAAGGCCTGTCACATTGGCTCATATATAAGGAAAGGGATGTTGCTGTATTTGTTTCCATTATTAAAAAAAAAAGAAGAAAAACCTACTCCTTAAACCAAAGGATCAATGATTTCGAACTGTGGTGTTGGAAAAGACTCTTGAGAGTCCCTTAGACTGCAAGGAGATCAAACCAGTCAATCCTAAAAGAAATCAACCCTGAATACTCATCGGAAGGACTGATGCTGAAGCTCCAATACTTTGGTCACATGATTCAAAGAGCTGACTCATTGGAAAAGACCCTGATGCTGGGAAAGATTAAAGGCAGAAGAAGAGGGTGACAAAGGATGAGATGGTTGGATGGCATCACCAATTCAATGGACATAAACTTGGGCAAACTCTGGGAGATGGTGAGAAAGAGGGAGGCCTGGCACACTGCAGTACCTAGGGTGGCAACGAGTTAGACATAACTTAGCAACTGGACAACAACTCCATAAACAATGTTCCAGTCCTCAAAAGTGCCCTGACCTTGTATTTGGGGATTGAATAGAGAAGGATTGATGTCTAGGCTGGAGCCCCTCTTTGCAAAGCTGTCAGTCCCCAAGTTTGGCAAGTACCTACTCCTTGCTCAGCCATGACCCAAGGGCCAGGGGAAACTTCTCTCAAAAGGAAAAGCCCAGTCACTCTGCCATGCAAACTGGACTGAAGGGAAGGCAAGGCTAGGAAAGGACTGTTTCTCACCCCGCTACTTGGGGAAGCTTAGGGATCCCTAGAAAGAGGCAGCGCTAGAAGCCCAAAGGAGAGAAATCCTGGGGCAGGAAGAGCAAGTAGAAACGCAGGGATTCCGGAAGGGATCCTTCTGGTAGGAGAAGGAGGGAGATCATGAGGGGACCACAGTCTTCAACTGGCTGCGCAACAAGCAGAATTTCAAGGCTACCCCCTTCCCCCGGCAGCCTTCATCCCCTCCCCTCCTCTGTCTTTCTCCACCTGAGCACCCCTGGCCCTGGGCTTTTCTGAGCACTGCCATCCCCTGAAACCCCACCTGGGGACTCACTGAGAGCCTGAGACAGGACATGTTTGGTCCCTGTGGTATTTCTCTTTTTAATGAGACTAGAAGACCCCTCAGATAAATAGAGTTTCACTAAGGGCCTTTCAGGCACCCAGGGGTCTTTCAAGCTATGCTAATCTTTCCTGTTACAAAGGAAAGGAACATAAATCATGAAGTCTTCCCTGGGACTTGGTTTCGTGTGGGGAGTTGAAGTTTAGATAAATATAGACAGCAGAGGGGGAATCTGAGGAATATGTCAGGCACCAGTGACAAGACAGCAGGAAGAAGTGCTTTGGCCTGGGGCCTCCCTTTGCCACAGCAGAGGGCCAGCTGCCAGCAAAATGTGCTTCGCTCTGGTGGCCACCCTGGCCTTCATCAGGAGTGGCTTCTCTCCCCCAGAGGGGAGAGGGGCAGAGAGCCCAGGGATGGTGTGCACCTGGGCCAGGGCGAGGATGGGCAGAGAAGAATGGGAGACAGTGGCGAACTGAAGGTTTACCTTCTCTTACTCTGAGTAGGAGCCCCAAGCAGAAGGAAAGGCTGAGCTTGATGGACCGGAAATGCTGAGTCGCAACTTTCAGAATGAGGGCAAGGTTCAGGCTGGCTCAGAATCTACTGAATTTATTCCATTCACACAGAAGCAAACGAGTCTTTCCTGTGACATAACAAACATTTTCAAAGAGAGTGCTTTGAGCAATAGCATGCGGGGCTCCTTTTAAATTTGGGGTTGGTGCCTGGCATTGAAAATCTCACTGAGAAGGCCAGAAGGTGGGGGAGTGTCATACCCAGAGGCAGTGGTCCCCAGCTTCAGGTTCGAGTTCCATCAGCACCCTGTCACCTTACAGAAATCACTTACCTCTTCCGCCTTCCCTTGGCTAGTTTCTGCACTGTCATGTGGAGAGTGCTCTTCCTAACTGTCGGTTGTTCAGAATACGACTGTGGTTTGTCGATGACCAGGTGCGCTTCCCGCAGGCTGTGGTTGTTAGTAGCCTGAGTGTTGCTGTGGTGATCATGGTGGGCAGGGGTGGGTCTTGGAAAGGCAGCTCCAGTCTAGAGAGCAAGTAGGGCCCTAACTCGGTGGGGCCGTGAGTCAGCCTCAGCCACTCACACGTTTGCAGGACTCCCAGCTCCCTCTGTGTTGCCCTCATGTGTAAAGGTGTTAAAGATGGGCTACTTTGACACACTCGCCACAGTAGTCCCTCCCACCAGCACACGAGATCACAGACCTGCACAGGACCTAACCCCTGTAGTGATTGTCACCCAGGCTACCTGAGCCCGAGTCGTGTTCCTTGCACTGTTTCCCACCCCCATCGAGCCAGCTAGAGCCCAGCCTTGACTGCACAGCAGCCAGGGAGGGGACTTGGTGAGCCCTGGTCCCAGGGGCTCGGCTGCTCGGATGCACTCTTCTTTCTGTAGTTCCCAGGCATTTGCTTAGGGCAGCACATTTTCTGTGCTTTCTTTTTTTCTCAAGAAGTCCCAGCTTTACGAGGAAATGGGGCCACGGGTGCAGGACAGGCCAGCCTCAGAGTGCTTCCTGCTGCACCTTTGCACTCAGGCCTGGATTCCTGGCGGTGGCTGGAGTTCAAGTCCAGACGCCAGCAGGCCTGTGAGAAAGGTCCCTCTTGCCCTGTGTGCTGGGGAATCAGCTGTCTCTGCAAGACCCCCCACCCCCACCCCAGAGTGACTGCTGAGAGAGACCCAGGCTGAGGACCTCCATCTGGATCTTTCTGTGAGACGGGTCTAGAATTTGCAGACTTGCCTGGTAGGGGACTTATCATCCAGAATCCTAGATTATGTGTGAGATCTTACGTGGAACCCCAAACTGTAGAACTGGCCGTGTGGCAGCCGCAGCGGCTGAGGCCTGAGAACCACCCAGCTTTGTGGGTCCTGGGAATTGCAGCTACTGTGCCTTCTTTCCTGCACTCAGACCCTTCCCCCACTCGGCCTGCCTGCCCCCAGGAGACTGATCTTGCAAATGCTTCCTGCTTGTGCAGGCTGGGCTTCAGTTATCCTCAGCCCCTCAGATTGAATCTCAACTTCCTTCTTCCTGGTGTTCTAGGCTCTTCATGGTTGTTTTCAACATGCCTGTCCTGCCTCACTATATCCTGGGGACCCAGTTCTCTGGTCTCGTCATTGCCTTTTGCATCTATCATGTTGGCCCTCCCCTCCCTCCCACCTTTTCTCTTCATGTTCTATCCTTTCTCTTGAGAGTCAGTTTCCTGGAAGCCCTCCCTACCTACACCAGCCATCAATGATCTCCCTACTGAAAACAATAGCTCACATAGTGCCTTGTAAAGTAGCACTTGGTTCTTATGTGTTTTATCTGCTTACCTGGTTCCAATATGTCAGTCTTGTCCTTCCAGCTGATTCCTATGATTAACTCATGATCTGAATAATACACATTTCCACATATAGTAGGGCTTCAATGAATAGCTGCTGACTTTTTTAAACCAAAGCAGGGTTTAGACATTCCTGAGGTTACAGAAATTCCTCCCTCATGTTAGAGTGAATGGGGGGCATCTTTGGGTCGGGGGTGGCCATGTGGGTGAGAGCCCTGGAATGTGGTCGGTTGTTGGCAGGTAAAGCCTCCTTGAAGACTTCCCTTTCTGTAGCAGATTTCCCTGAGATGTGCATATCTCTCCAGCTAGAAAGGTCATATTGGGATAAGTGAAGCATTAATCATGTGGTTCTGCCCTGTCTTATAGGGATTTGAAACTGGACAACATCCTTCTGGATGCAGAAGGTCATTGCAAGCTGGCTGACTTTGGGATGTGTAAGGAAGGGATTCTGAACGGTGTCACGACCACCACTTTCTGCGGGACACCTGACTACATCGCTCCCGAGGTAAGACCATGAAGGAGGGAGCTACCTTCTCCCACTGCCAGGGCTGAGGCCTGAGTTCATTCTCATGTGTTGGGGTCATCTAGCAGTGTTAGGTGAAGACTCTGGAAAACCAGGATGAATTCCAGGGAGGAGGGAAAAAAGGAAGGTAAAAGGCATACCGATTTCTCCATAAGGAAGTAGTGGTGATGAGGAGAGAACAGTGAATTGAGAACAACAGGCCATTCCCGGAAGCTGGCCAGGTCCTCACTGAGCATCCCATCTCATTCCAGTCCAGAACCATCACGAAGCTAGGACCAAGCAATGCTTGTTGACTTGTATTATTGTTTTTACTTTTCTTAAGGTAGTACTGTGTTTTATTTTTTAATTATGTATTTATTTTGGCTGTCCTGAATCTTGGTGGCTGCACAGGCTTTTCCCTAGTTGCAGGGAGCAGGGGCTCTCTCTAGTTGTGATGCGTGCCCCCTCATTGTGATGGCTTCCTCATCGCAGAGCACAGGTTCTAGGGCACGTGGGCTTCAGTAGTTGCAATTCCTGGGCTCTAGAGCACAAGCTAAATAGTTGTGGCACATAAGCTTAGTTGCTTCATGGCATGTGGGATCCTCCTCAGTCAGGGATTTAACCTGTGTCTCCTGCATTTATGGGTGGATTCTTTACCACTGATCCACCAGGAAAGCCCTGTTTTCACTTTTTAGTAACCAGAATAAAGGAGCACCATTGATAAAGGCAGAGTTTAGCTATGCAGCTTTAATTGCCTACAGTAAAACCAAAAATTAGCTGCCATTTCTAACGTATCACGGATTCTGTGTAGCAGGCACACAAGGTTGAGCTGGAAGCAGAGAGCATCTGAGCCTCGTTTTAGTGGAGATCAGAGATGTTCACTGTGAGGCTCACCAGTGGGTTGCCTGTTATGGAAGTTGCTTAGATATTTTGTTCATCATAATGTGTTTTCTTTGCCCTGAGTTTTCTCCAGGTCAGTCTGCCCAGACTGAGAGATACCTAGTGTGGAATGATTCAGATTTAAGACATAGTCTGTCACAGATATTTAATAAAAATGGTCTCAAGGGTTCTGAAACATGTGAGGTAAGAAGGAAGTACTAGTCCCTTTTAAGCATTGTCCATGGTGAGTAGGAGTTAGCACAGCCAGATTTCATTTCCTTCCAGTGGGCACTGTTTGAGCACCTGCTCGAGACAAAGTGATGTGAGGATGAAGAATTACTGAGACCCTGGTGGCTCTCCTAAAAGGCCTTTGTGTTCTCGAGAGAGTGACAGCTAGTAAAGTAAACAGCTAGTTAAGCAGAATAAATAGGTACACAAGATGGTAACATCAGGACTCAGGGAAGGTTTCTTAGGGTACCTGGTGGATGAATTGAGTTGCAGAGAGTCTGCAGGATTTCCTTTGGTGGTATGCAGTGGGGGGCATTCCCGAAAACAGCAGGAAGGATTGGGGTGGGTGTGGGGCAGGGGAGGAGAACCAGTATCCTTGGGCTCTGAATCCTTTAAGGCAGAGGCTTTGTTTCTGATCTGGTTACTCCCAGACTCTGGCACACACATCAGTCTCTTAGTAATAGTTTGTTGAATGAATAAATAAATAAATAAGAACTTGTAATACTCTAACATGAGCAAAGCCTGGGGGACGAGAACATTCTTGGCCTTTTTGAGAAAGGAAGATAGTATGGCCAGAACAGAGGATTTCTTAGTGCTCTTAGTAATGAACAAGATTAAGAAAAAGGACCAAGGAAAGTGGCCTTTATTCTATAGGATCTGTGGATCCACTGAAGTTTTCCCAGTGGAGGGAGGGTCATCATCAGACCTGTCCCAGAAAGAAGACAGGCAACAGGAATGTATATCAGAAGCCAGAGGGTCAGAGAAGATTGGTTGAGAGTTTTTTACAGCCCAGATAAGACTCAGGGAGAAAAATAAAAAATAAAAAGACTCAGGAAGGCCTGAGGAGGTTCGAAGAGTGAGGATGGTAATAGATAAAGTCTCACTGGAGCCTCTATCTTCTAAAAGATCTCAAGAGTAGAGATTTCAGACTGCCTCTACAAGTAAGTTCTTTTAGCAGAAACATTAGGAGTTTAACCTTCAAGGAGAAATTGAAAGCAAGGCCTCTCAGTTGAAACCTGTCTTTCCACCACCTTCCTCATTCACTCTTTATCATCAGAATGGTTGGTTCTAGGCCTTCTGTGAATTGATGTCAGAGTCAAAGTGTTGACAGCCTAGTGTAGTAGTCGAGGACCCAGCCCAAGACAAACATTCACTTTGTGATGAACAGAACACCCACACAACTTTCATGAAAGGCAATCCATTGGCAAAACTCACAATGGATAACTCTGGTTTCTGTTCTATAGTGGGACCCAGACACTGTTCCTTGTCATTCTACACTTGTGTCAACTATGCAGCATCACCACTCCGTGTGAAATGCCTAACGATTCCTGGTCTTACTATAGGCAAATTATAGCTGATAAGGATATTGCTATCTTTATCAAAGGGTCACTGAGACGGTTAAATGAAATTATGCTGCTGAGGCATTTAGGCCAGTGCCCAGACCACAGTAAGTATTGGGTCAGCAGTGGCTCCCTCACAATCATCATGGTTGTTAGGTTACGCAGTGGGGTGGGCAAAGCACAGTCCAAAGAGTTGAGAATCCAGGCTGGACTTAACCACTAATGCCCCCATGTGACCTTGACCAAGTCATAAGATGTTTTTGACCCTCAGATTCCTCATCTTTCAAATGGGAATGATAATTCCTGCCCTAGCCGCCTCATCAAACGTTTTGAGAATCTAATGCAATTAGAGCATGGAAATGCTTCAGAAAGCATAAGCCTATATGCAAATAGGAGGGGTTGTGAAGTGCCTGGCTAACCCTGAAACCAGAGATAACCTTCCGAGGCACCGACTCTGCCCTGAGGCTTCTCTTTCCACCACATGCCCTTGGCTGACCTTCATGGCAGCCCCTCCCCTGTCTCCTCACCCGCTCCCCAGACAATGGTGGCCAGCCCTAGGAAGTGCCTGGTGCCATCAGGCCCAAGGCCTGCTCTTCCCCCCCAGCTCTGACCCCTCTAGGGGTTGGCTGCCACGCCAGGTACCCTCCCATGGCATGTGAAGACTTGCCCTCTCACCAGCTCCATCCATGACAAGGTGATTGGAAGCAGATAATTAGGGTCAAACCTGAGGAGGGTTTTATTAAAGATGCCACCCCAAACAGGAGGCCTCTGGAGGGGCCTGGGGAAAGGTGGACAGTGCTTCTCTGGCGGTTTCCCTAGCACCATCCGGTCTGAACACAAACAGGGTCACCTGGAAGCTACCTCCCCACCACACCAAGAAGGCACAGAACCCAGCTGTACCCGCCCTGCCCTGAGGTTAGCGGGTGGCCACCTCATGTGAAGAGTTGACTCACTGGAAAAGACCCTGATGCTGGGAGGGCTTGGGGGCAGGAGGAGAAGGGGACGACCAAGGATGAGATGGCTGATGGCATCACCGACTAGATGGGCATGAGTTTGAGTAAACTCCGGGAGTTGGTGATGGACAGGGAGGCCTGGTGTGCTGCGATTCATGGATTTTTTTTTTTTTTTACTGTTGCCAAAATGCTTCTCCCACCTTTTGATTTAATCCCAAGCAACCTGCAACCTTGAGAAGGGCATTTTGAGCAGACCCCAGACAGTCCAGATACCTGAGTTCAACCTCGTCTTCTGTCTGGTAATCTGAGAACTGAGCAGGAGCTTCATTCTGAAATAGGTGACCTGAGAAGTTACCTGCCTGGGGTGACCTGCAGGCTGGAGTGACCGTTGCCATTTGGGGAGGTGTCTTCAGAATATTCCCCCTTTGAGGATGTGCACTCCAGTCGTGCTTCTCCTCCCTTCACTTTTTGGAATTCTTTGTAGAATGATAGCACTGAGCAATCAGAGATGACCTCTCACCTGCCCTGCTGTCTCTGGGCAGCACCACACCTGGTCCTGCTGACTGATAAGAAGAAAACATCACTGTGGGGTAGGAACATCACTTCCTTAGCAGCGGGGACACCCAGCATTCTTTCTGCTCTGAGCCAATTACACATCACTGACCTGCTACATACTATACACACATGGAGATGAAACCTTGTAGAAGTAAAATTAGATTTAGTACCACCTTCCAATTATATAGAGCTTTGTATTTGCAGTAGGCTTTTGGAATCCTCCATCTTAATTAATCTTGTGAGGTTAAGCTGAGGATCTGAGCCTCATCTGATAAATGAGGAAGTCAACTGTCTGGCTTGAGATCACCCAGAAATGTAATGCCAAACTTGGGGTGAAATTAGATACCTCCTGGTTGATCTTCTGTCTCTAGCACCTGGCCAGCACTGCAGAAAAATTAGGAGGGGGAAGTTACTTGCTTTTCCAAAAGTTCTGCAGCTTCTCAACTTAGAGTTCCTCTCCTGCACTGACATTCTGATTCCATTTGTAAAACTTCAGTCCTCACACACCATTCTGCAGGAAGCTGACGTCAGCATGTCTTCAGCATCATGTACTAAGTGCATGTAACCTGAGTGACTCTGACTCCGTATACTTGGAGGAGGAGGCAAAGAGAACATAGATAAGGGAAGTGGCAAACCCAAAGACAAGTGCCAAGACAAAATGCACCAGACAACCAGGATTTGATTTGGGCTCTTGCAATAGGGAGAATTTTATGGACTGCCTGAAATAAAAAGGAGGGAGTCCACTCAATATACAAGGATCACTGACAGAAGAAACCCACATGTTAAGCTAATTAAAATCCATGCCTCTTTAGTGTTCTCAGTGTGAAACCAACAAGCAAAAAGTGAAGTTACATGGTAAGACATTGATGGAGTTTATTATATGTTTGAGCACAAAAGTGTGAGCTAATTATAATGAATATACCACAAAGCAGATTAGTGTCATGGTTAACAATATTTAGTAATGGGTAAAACACAAACTTTGAAGTTAGTCAAATCTGAAGTAAGATTGGAACGAGCGCATAAATCTGGCTTTATTTTCTGCAAGTCACTTAATTAAATGTTTGATTTTTTTTCACCAGTAAATTAGAAAAAAGAAAATAATCTATGTAAAAACTGTTATAAAGATAAAATAGCACTCAATCATTTTTTAAAAGGGGGTCTGGGGCTTTATAAAGGAAGGAAAATGATTTGTCAGCAGGCCTTAGGAAAGTCATGAGGAATAATAGAAATGGGTCTTTTCTCAGAATATGCAAGAGCGTAGTTGTCCTTTATGATTAGAACACAAATGGGTGGGGAGATTTATTAACTATAGTTTCTTTTCCAAGAGCCCAGGGCTCCATGAATTCAGCATTGTCACTATCTAAACAGGACTGAGATTCTGATCACCCTTCTTTAGTGAGGGGAGACCTAAATTTGCTGCACTCACTCACTGTGATTTTAGTTTCAAGAATATACACAATTTTTTCACATGGCCCTCCATGCAAGTCAGGAACTTCATCTGGTACTCAAGCAAAGAAGCAGTAATTTGTTCCCACTGGAAGGCAGACTGTGGGTGTTGACTCTGGAAAGCTGGCCCCTACACTGTGCCTCCCAAACTCAATTTTCACTCAGCTAGCTGATTTAGAACCCAAATTTTTATAAGGCAGCCCTACTCTATGGAAGAACAAGCTGGAAATAGAAACCCAGGTCTTCTCAAGGCCGCTTGTGGCGCAGGCGTGGCCTCGGGGGGAGCCTGCAGGGGAGCCCTGACGTTGCCCATCTCCCGAACAGATCCTGCAGGAGCTGGAATACGGCCCCTCAGTGGACTGGTGGGCCCTGGGCGTACTGATGTACGAGATGATGGCTGGGCAGCCCCCCTTCGAGGCTGACAACGAGGACGATTTGTTTGAGTCCATCCTCCACGACGACGTGCTCTACCCGGTCTGGCTCAGCAAGGAGGCGGTCAGCATCCTGAAAGCTGTGAGTCATCGGCCCTTGCCTTCTTTCTGCTCCCCCGCTTTCCCCCCGCCCCCCTCCTTCCCCCATCCCACCTCTGCTCACTGCCCAACCGAAGGGGTGGAGGGCAGTCACCCTGGGAGTTCAGGTTCACTACAGGGGCTGCTGTTGAGAAATTGAGCCCGGGGCAGATTGCTCTTCTTGTGGTAGAGGGATACCACATCTGCATTCCCAGAGGAAGGCTCTGTGCACTTGTGTGTCCTCCAGAGCTGCAGAGGGGGAGACCAACCCCAGTGGTGCTGGGGTCACCCCTACTGCTCACAGTCTTGGGGCAGTACCCCCTTTCCTGATCTGCCACCCATGTCTGTCTACCTCTGGGGCTTGCGATGGGGAAGAGAGAAAGGTGGTGAGGGGGAGACGCTGTACCCCTGTGTCGACAACAGCAACACTGATCAAAGAAGATGTGTCCTCTCAAGATCCCTGTAACCACAATGGATTCAGATGTAATAGACTTTCCATGCCGCAAAATAGTCCCTTACAGATGATAATGCTTACACTTGCTCAGTATAACCATGGCTACAACATTGCACTATGGCAAGTAAATGAAGTTGTCTGTCCCCCTGGGAATGCTGGGGGAGGTGAGGTGCAGGGAATGTAAACAGACCAGTTTACCTGGGGAAGGTCACCTCACTGGGTTGAGGCCATGACAGCCCAGGAACCTGACTTCTGTTCCTGGCTTCTCTCACCCTTCAGAACACCCCGAAGTTCAGAGTCAGCATGCCACAGTTCCAAACTTTGCCATATCAAAATACTTGCTCTGTCATGGTTTATTTTTCTTGTTTTCCAAGTCAAGTCCCAATATTTACCTAATTGTATATATACAGAAATATTACATCACTATCATAAATGGAAAATTAGTATCACTTGACATAATTGATTAACATAAATCATCCTATAAAAATAGTAAAAAGGCCTAAAATCATTTCCTAGTTGTCTGGAGGGGACTCGTACCATGTTTTGGAAAATGCTACATCAGAACATGTTGCTTCTTTCTGCAGTTCATTTTTTCCTTGTTCTTCCCTTCTTTCTCTCATCTTCCTTCCTTCCCTCCCTCCCACATCTATTTCTCTTCCTCTGTCTCCCTCCAATTCCTTGCTTCAATGAACAACTATCTGTTAAGTGTTTTCCTATATGCATTGTGCAGTGTTTTCCTCTAGCATTGTGCTAGATGCTGCATGAGTGTAACAGCCATCATTCTTGCCTTGTGGAGCCTGTGATCCAGCAGGAGAAGGTGGGAATTAAGTTAAAAAACACATCCATAGGTGGTCACAGTTGGGCTACGAGCAGTGAAAGAAGCAAAGAGAATATGTTCATTTACTCATTTATTCAACACCTATTTATTGAGCATTTGGATATGCCAGACACTGTGCCAGGTGCTGGCAAAGGAAGACCCTGTAGCACCTGAGGCAGCTGAGGATGCCCCCAGCAGAGCTGATCACTCACCCTGGGCGCCAGACACCAACCTGACTCACCTTCCCGTGAGCACCCTGCCGGTACCCTAGAGGGGCCATTTCATTATGAATGATCAGAGCAGTGGTCTTCATCTAGGGATGATTTTGCCATTTCCCCTCCCCCCCCCTCACTTCCATCATCCCCCAGAGACATCTGGCAATGTCTGGAGATGTTTTAGTTGTCTCAACTTGGAGGGGAGGGATGCTATTGGAATCTAGCGGGTGAAGCCAGGGATGCAACTGAACACCCTGCCCTGCACAGCCCCCACAGCTAAGAAGTATACAGTCCAAACTGTCATCAGCACAGAGGAAGCTTCACCCTACAGAGATCGAGAAGAAGCAGGTTGTGCCTGTGTCAGCTGGTTGGTGAGGGCGAAATGTCTGGGAAAAGACGAGACTCTGGCTTGGGGTCAGCTTCCTGAGACGCTAAAACCTGTGTGTTTATCCATGGCCCTGATACTTCCCCTCCCAGAAGTGGGAGGACAGGAAGAGCTGAGGAAGCAAGGAGAAGTCTTCTACTCCCTTGGCCTTGGAACACTTCACTTCCTCACATTGTCGCTTGATTCTAGGGCCAGGCCAGGTTTTCCATGACTCTAGCCACTGAGCCGTGTCTCTTGAGGGCTGCTGCCTACGTGCAGAACTCTCCAGAAGCCTTTTGCACCATAGAGTTATGCAGTGCACCACCTGTGCAGCAGTGAGTATCGTCCTGCTCCCTCCCTTCCTCAGCCCTGTGCCCTGAGGCCCAGCCTTCAACCCACTGTTCCCTCATCTCACTGGACAGAGTGCACAGTGAGAGCCAGGCATGGACCTAGATGCTGGGAAGATAGGACTGATTCCTATATTATAGAGCTCACCATGGAGAAAAACATTTAGACAAATTATAATTTAAATAAATGAGAAGCATCTACCCAGCACCTCTTCACCCTCTTATCTCTGCCCAGGTAAGATTCTTTGGTTTCAGCAGTGCCAGGCAGGAGTCAGAGGGAAGTTCTTGCTGCCCAGGAAACTCTCCCTTGCTGAAGCCTGAAATGCCATCATTATAGATTTATCCCTCTGAATTTAATTTATACGTTGACCTCTTAAGGTCCTTTGTTTAAACTCTTAGCCTTCACCCCATGAAATGTAACACTCAGCCTCTAACACACATGCAAACACACACCACTACCTTTATTTTGGTTGGCTGTCAGAAATGTTTCCACCTACCAGCACTGATTTTTTTTTTCAAGCTTATATTTTTATACATCTGCTCAATTAAATTCACATTTGCCATCAGGACTGACTCATTTAGTAGGAATAGTAATTTCACTTGGGTGTGTGAGTTCACAAGACACCAGCCAAAAAGTACAAAACACATCAATGTGGTTTTTACAGACAAGCATTGGGAAGCAATAAGCCTTTCTTTTTCTTATTTTTTGTCTGTTAATGTATGTTGAGTTTTGTGCTAGCAATTACAAATTAAAAAAAAAAAATTTTTTAAGTAGGAGGGCCTATATCCAGGAAAAGGAAAGGGAAGGAGGTGTCTTTGAAAATTGACCTTAACATGAATATCTGGTCTTCTTTCCTTACCTCCAGAAGGACTGTTGACCTCTTAGTATGAGTTTATCAGACTTCAGTATCCCTGATGAGAAGATTTAAGAATCTGAGGGGAAATCAGAGGGTTAGAAAAAGTCTAAGTTCCTAATCTTGACTTAATACCTCGCTGGCTGTTTGACTTTGGCCAAGTTAATTAACTTCTCTGAGCCTCAACTACCTCACTTATAAAGTAGGGATCATGTTAGTCCCTCAGAAGGCTGTGTTCCATGGAATGAGTCAGTACATGTATAACATATGTGTAGAGTGGGGGCCGGTGCATAGTAAGTCCTACCTAAGAATGAGGGGCGAAGCTCCTGAAAGTACAGAAAGTGGGCTTGGGAGGTGACGCCAAAGATGCTGCCTTGGCTGAGCTCCACCTTCCCCTCAGTGCCTGTGCCTGCCGGGCCTCTGTTCCTGATTCTGTCTCTGTCTTCATCCCCCCAGTTCATGACCAAGAACCCCCACAAGCGCCTGGGCTGCGTGGCGGCGCAGAATGGTGAGGACGCCATCAAGCAGCATCCGTTCTTCAAGGAGATTGACTGGCTGCTTCTGGAGCAGAAGAAGATCAAGCCGCCCTTCAAACCTCGCATTGTAAGTAGGCCTGTAGCTTGCACACACCGAGGGTGGGTCTGGCATCCAGGCACAGAAATGAGGGTCTGGGCACATTTCACAACCAAGATGACAAGGGCAGAAGGTCACCAAGAGACACCCTAAAAGAGTCTCGTCAAAGATACATAACCAATAGCTGTAACCAAGATGATGACTTACATAGGACATAGAGGAATCTTTTGTACTTTAATCAAATTTTATTTATCTTGACCAAAATTGTAGGCGATACTGGTTTTCTATGTGTGGTAGAGATTCAAGGTTTCTTTTTAAATCAACTTTTTTTTTTGAGTCAGTTTAAAGAAAAATATTAACTCAGTGATAGTCGCAATCATTGTTTGGAGCTAGCACAGGGCCTGAGGCTGAGACTCAGAGGTGGACATTTGAGGAGGACTGTCCCCAGAGCAACCCGTGGAGCCCGGCTCAGTGAGATGCCATTTCTTTAGACCGCGTCTCTGCCTTCTTTGACCCACTCTCCCTTCTGCCTTCTCTCCAGCCTCAGCACACACTTCTTCCAGGTCCTTTCGCCTGTTGTGACCATGCCAGTCAGAGGAAGGTGCAATCATTGTGTTTGAAGCTCAGAGGTTAGAAAGAGGAATTGGCCTGTCGAGTCCAGGCTTGACTCAGAGAGCAGAGACGACGTTGTGGCCGTGATCTGCCTCTGGAAGGGAAAGGGGTCAGAGGTGCTTTCCTTAAAGTTAGAGAGTGGGTGTGTGTAAGCATGCGTGTGCATGTGCATGCGCACATATCCATGTGTGTGTGTGTGTGTGTGTGTGTAAGGGGAAACTCTTAGTTCTCTTGCACCCTAGCCAGATAAAGCAGTCATTTAGATGAAACTTCAAGTAGCCAGCTGGCTAGTGTCCTGGGAGTGAAGTGGGCTGTGTATGAAGTTACGGGGCAGAGCCCCGGAGTGGTAGGGCTGGGGTCTCGGGCAGTGAAGACTTGTGATTATCAAGTCAGCCCTCAATCACCCCACATTCTGCCAGAGGACTTCTTCTCCGTCACTTCCAAGTATAAAAAAGACCCTCCTGTGCCTTGGGAATCTTCAGAGAGGAAATCCACTATTTCCCAGGAGGTTTTCTGGGGGTCAGTGGTTGATAGTTTGGGAATCTTAGAAATATTTCATGTCGGGGGTAAGACTCAGCTGAAGGGTGTGATCCAGGCCTCAGCCAGACAAGAGCATTCAGGTGAACAGTCCCTGGACATAGTCCCACCACCATTCTTTGTTTGCTTCCTTCTTGGGTTTTTATGATTTTCTCTGGCTGACACACAGCTTGGAACAGGCTAAGTTTAGGTTTACCTTCTTTCTTTGTTAATATCACCCACAGCTCTGGGGCCTGCTGTTCTAAGCCTGTGATGTGAGCTCGGAGCAGGGCTTATGGCACATGCCAGCCTGCCTAAAGCCTGCCCTGCCCCATCCCTAGGGTCTTTGCAAGTGGTCTTTTAGGACTAGATGAACTGACAAGTTTCCCCAGACAAAATGAGAGGGTCAGGAGACCAGAGGCCAGGCAGAGGAGGAAAAACTTACTTATTTTAGGTTTAATCTAAGTTGATCAAACCCAAAGAAAATTCAGAAATAGACCTGAGTAAGGAATCTAGGCCCAACAAAGAGAAACCCAGGATGAGCACGGGGCCCAGTCAAACAGTGCAGGTCTGCAGAATGACTTGAAGTCCAATCTAGAGGCCAGGTCAACAAAAGGACCTGATGCTAGGCTTGCAAAGGGGCAGGGCTGGAGGAGCAGCCCCTTCTGGGGGTGCAGGCTGGAGGGGACAAGCCCCAGGGGACCATCATCAGCAAGGGGTGTGAAAGGAACGGGGGCCTGGCTGGTGCAGAGGCAGGCAGGGAATCTTTGCAGAGAGCCCACAGGGAAGCATGGGATTCAGGAAGCTCTTTGTGGTAAAAGGCACAAGGAAGCTTTAAAGGATGAATTTATGGAGCAGAGTCTTTTTCTGGAGTGGTCTGGTGGCCGATTGTCACTCAGATCCAGTGGAGGTGATTGCTCTGAGATGGCCAAAGAAGCCCCGAGAGGTGCTGGTCTCCAGGAGCTCTTCCCAGCAATTCCTGGGGCTTCCACCCTGCAGTCTGAACTCTGAGCACAGTGAAAGTGCACACCTGAGAGCAGGGACACTTGGAGTAGTCCCTGGCTTCCCCAGAGAGAGGGGAGGGCAGGAAGGACAGATGTGCAGTTTCTATGGCCCACAGGATGGGCAAGGATGCAGACAGAGGAAGTGGCGGGGGTGGGGGTGGGCATGGAGCAGAGCATGAACCAGAAGGCTGAGCATGTGACCCAGTCTGCTAGCTTAGCCCTGGCCCTAGCAAGGGGTGAGGGTGCTCCTGTGGACAGGGGGTGATGGCTCCCCAGGAATCAGCAGTAGAAGTCCATCCTGGGTCAGGGGTTCTTTCTATCCATGTAGAATGCAAGAGCCCGGTGCTTCCCTTCCCTGAGGCTCTCGACAGCCCCAACCTGGGACAAGAGGGCAGGACTCTGCTTGCTTCCTTTGCTGAGGGGCTCAGGTAGGCTTCTGGGGGCCATCCAGGAGCTCCCACCAAGTTCACAACTGTTTAGCATTCCTAAAGACTGAGTCATCATTGCCTTGGAAATGATCCTCTGGGCATGTTCCTGCTCGCCCCCAACAGGCTTCCAGAGTCACTCTCAACACTGTTGGGGGTCAGGAGAAAGGGCGTTTATTTGGCTGGTTTGAATTCAGTTTGAAAGAAGGAATTAGAACATCATCTGAAGGAAGGATAAAAAAGGAAACTTACATTGTACGAGAGGTGTTTCTGGTCACGTTTGGAGCTGAATGATATTGATCCTTACTGAGTTCTCAGCTATAGGGCAGTCAAGATATATTCGAGTTATTTAGATCTCTGATCACAATTATATCCTTGTGACAAGAGATTTCTCTCCAGAGAAATATTAAAATGGGGAAAGAACAGTCTTCATCTAGTTAGCACGTTGAAAAGATGTCCCAAATCTGTCCCTTGATTGAAAACTCTTCTCTGAAAAATGTTAATGGCATTGTCCTGAGTCACCTGTGGGCTGTGTGTAGTGGAAACGAGTTTTAAATTGAATTAAAGCCCACTGCGATGATGGATATACTGTATCTCATCTCTGAAAGCCCTAGTAGGACTAGTGTGGAAACTCACACAGGTGTTTATAAGCCATCACCCCCTCTAACCATCTCAGGATTCTCCCTGGGGGTGTGGAGGCCTGCCTGGCTCAGATGCCAGCAGTGAGCAGGGCTCTGTGTTCCAAAAGCTGAGTCAGCACAACCCACAGACAGAGCTACACATGAGAAGTCATTGGAGAGACCCTGGGAAGCTGAAGTGTGTCCCCATAGACGTCATCTTTTGCTCATGGGACAGGGAGTTCCAACACAAGACAGGCTCTTCTTGGACTTCAGGTGTCACATAACTTAAGGACATGCCAGATACCTTCTGAGGAGAACCACAGAAGAATGGTTTTGACAGAAAGAGTAAGAAAAACTGGTTTGACTTTGGGAACAAGTGGCCAAGGTGTTTGATCACGAGCAGGTGAAGGGCAGTGTGAGTGTCTTAGATCTTAGGGACAGACTCCAAGTCAAAGGGAAAAAGCCACTCTGAGAAGGGAGGGAAGGGGACAAGTCTGTGATCAAGCATCTCCAGCTATGCACCTTGGTGGTGGCCTAGAGAAGACACAGGGCATGCATTCCAGAAGCAAGGAAAGCTATGCACGGACTCCCCATGTCATCAGACTGAAGATCTCCAGGGTGTTCAGTCAAGGGCCTGGGGCTCCAGAGGGAATTCTGGGACTCCTCTGTTCTGGGCTTGCTCTACTTGCTCCCTGCCCATGCCCTGCTGATGTCACACCAGGATGCCACCAGTCCCCAGGAGCCTGCTGAAGAGCTGCTTTCCCCTGCTCTGCTGGCTCTACTGAATCTGAGCCCCCTGGGCTGGTGGCGGGGGGCGGGGCGGAGGGCAGGCATCCTGCCTGTCTGATTCAGGAAGGAATTGGTTTTGTCTGGTAGTGGGTGCTGGGGAAACAGACTGGGTGAAGTCCTGTCATCCGGTCTAGGAGTTATGAAGAGACAAAACGTAGTAGCCTGTGTTTCAAAGTTCCTAACCATCCCCACTGCCCCGAACAGACAGAGCCCCTACACACGAGTGGGCACAGCAAACTGCACTCTGCCCATGCTGGCTCAGCTGGAGGCTGGGGTCCCTGGATCACCCACGCAAGGGCTGAGGATATGGCAGGAGAACAGCTTCCAGAACTGGTTTCCATCCCCTCCACAGGAAGCCTCGCCCCTCTAAAGATATCACCGGGGAGATTGTCCAGATTCGTACCTGGAATTTGGCCTCTGGTCAGGTTCCATCACATACTTCGATTGGCTGCTATTCCCTCCAGGCCTTTGCCTTCCTGAGATGTTTGCTGAACTGAGATTTCTGCTCCCTGGCGCCTGAACCTCCCTGTCTAAACCCTGCCCTGACTCACCAGCTGTCAGTATTTCCTGGGTTTCCTCCCTTCAGGTTTTCACCCCTTTGCGGTAACCCCACCCTAGGACATTTTTCAGTGGCCTTTGCTTCTGCGTGGAGCTTTCCTTCTCATCTTTCCTCCCAGCCATCTTATCGTGTTTATTCTCCCTCCTCCACCTTCCTTTTTATGCTCCTCCCGTCCACCCCTTCTCCACTCCCATACTCTACTGATGTTGTACAGGCGATGTGCCATTAACACCGAACTGGAGACTTGGTGCCAATCATGCACTCAAATCAGTTTTCCTTTGGTGGCTTGCTTCCAACCAAGGGCATACAGCAGTGGGTGGGTAGGGGAATAGAAAAGCCAGCAAAACTGGATCTGTGACCTTTGATGGTGGAAAAACTCTCCAATATGGAATTCACCATCTATCTTACTGGGGATATGATTCCAAGACAGTGGCATCATTTGCTGCCATTAAAAGCAGCCTATTTAGCTTTTGTGTTCCTAGCGGGCTTGCCTTCCTTGGGGACC